ACCAAAATCATGTTACAAATGTCTCTAACAAATAATTATAAATAGCAAATTAATATAAAAAAATCGTTATTTTGAATAAATGACGTATCTAACGAACGGAAATTAAAATACCATATGATGTAATCGCCAAAGACTATTATGTATATTAATTATATATAATATGTATATATTATATTTAATAACATATTTATTACATATATTGTATCAGACAAATAGATATCTGTGTGTGTGTATGAGTGATGTACAGATACATCGTTATAGATGTATTCATTGTTAACCAGATACAATATAGAAATGAGCGCGAAGCCTTAATGTCTGTAGTTTATCTCCAACGTTACACAACATATTTATCTTCTAAATTGGGTCTTGGCTTTTGAAATGACAATAATAGAATGGAACTCTCTCGTTCGCCGTCTACGAAATTTACGCAAGTATACTGTGGTTGTACTAAAGAAACTCTTAGCAGCTAGAAAATGGTTTGCGGGATGCCACGAATTTCGTTTTCAATTGCATTCCGCTCCATTATAACCAACTTCAGAAAGGAGATGGCTACTAATTCTTTCTTTTTATTATGTGCTAACTAGTGATTATACAGGACACCATGTTCTTTTTTTTAATTAAATAATTGCCAATGTACAGCGTCAAGATACAATTTATTTTCATGACAAATTTCATTCAGATCCCTGCTGATGAAAAAGTAATGAACAGACAAACTTTTTCATTTATAATTTTAGTGTGTTCGTAGTAAATTATGTATAGATATCTGTATTTTTTTTATTATCTTACATTACGTTATATTGATATATTTTTTATATAAAGTTTTGACACAATTGAAAACAGTATTATTTTTAGAAGGACCTATCGTACTTTTATACATTTCTCAAGAATTTCAACTGTCTTTAAGAAATATGTATTATGTAGCGTATAAAATAACAATATAAATTTTGATTTCATATCTTATTTCTTCAAGGAATCGATCGAAGGAGGCAATCAAATTTGTTTCAGAAAAAAAGCCGAGTTCAATCTTGAGAAAATTATACCTACAGGAAAAATCAGTTCCGGAGTTTGAGATGATGTAGCGCAACTTATACAAAAAATACTTCTTTGTGTTGAGAACTTCATGTTTCGAAAATACATTACCAAACTGTCATCGGAGGAGCCCGCAGCGGGACAAACACCCAGTCTTCGAAAGAATATATAAATACTTAATGTAGAATGAGTCTAATAAATAATGAAAATGGACCCATACATATACATATACTATACATCACCCGTAAATGTTGTTATTACCCTACTTCCCCAGAATATTGGAAAATATTAAAATCCTTTGGCCCGTATTAAAATATAACTGTGAAGGGAACAAACCGAAAAATTATTATAATGCGAACAAATTGATGCACCAATAGAATATCAAATATAATTCGGGATGTTATGTTATGATATTTAATATTAATTAAATTAAGAGTACCATAGCCTTTGTATGATGTAAATCCTTTTTCTGATCGATACTGCGGTCATAAACCCAAAACGTAATCTGAGAGATAGGTTACCCCCGCTAGGTTGGAATTATATACAAAATATCTGTATAAATATGTTTCTAAGGGAATGTATTATTCTTCGGTAAGTTAGTAAATTTCAAAAATTTCAAATTTCTAAATAAAAGACATACAAACCTAAAATAAATTTGATTTTCTAGGAATAATATTTTATTGAATTGTGATCTTATCTCGAAATTCTCAGAAATAAAAGGTTTATATTGCTTCTTGCAAACATAAATTTCTTAGAACTCGTAGAATTTTGAAAATTCGACGTAAAAGTCATATCTTTATCATATCATATCTCATATATGTATCTTTTTCAGCTTGCTATATACGAGTATTTTTGTAAAAGCGTCATTACGACTGTTTAGCATTTGCATGCCACAAATACCACACAATGTAAGGGCGTATTGTCTTAATCCGACCTTCCTAGTGGGCGTGGAGTAATAAATCATATGAGTGGAGATGAGTGTCATGACTGCCTGGTAAATATCTAAATTATAAACTCGACGTATCACCCTCGTAATGGATACCAGCGCTGATTGATTACCTTACGGTGTAATAGTTGTCACTTACTATCGGTTGTAAGGACAGAATCCCCAATAAAAGCCTTTTAAGGACAAGTCTGTAGCATACATCTTGGTATATATAATATAACAAATCTACAATTATTAACTAATATTCATACATTTAACTTAAAAATGCTAATACGAAGTAAATGATTCTATAAAACTATTACCAAGTAGTGTATATAGTAACTGATTTCAGCAACTTTATAAAAGTTAATATACTCGGGATGCTATTTATATTTATACAACATTTCATTACTATCCGTTTTGCCTTTTAGTCGTGAAAATGTAGCAGATACACTTTCGCATTTATAGTACTAAGTATAGATAAGAATATAATACTTTACGCAGACATCATGAAAGCGTATGAATAATCTATAACAGAAGATGAAAAATCTATTTTATCAGCATGAGGTTACGACGTACCCAAAATACGCACTGCTGACTGACCACATTCTATTGTTGCGTACGAAAAAAATATTGTCAATAAATTAGTATAAAAAAAATATATTGGAAATATGATTAATTTCGGTTCCATTTGTCATAATTGCTATCTCAACAAATCCAATTGATTTGTATGAGTTTATAAACGTGAACCGTAAACGATTTTTCATAATTTATTTCTGTCTTGGCAATTAAGTTTCATGGCCGTAATTTTTTATGATTACTCAAATACAGTTACCAGCGTTTTAGATATTTGTTCATAAAATAAATCATTCAGAAAAGAATAAATATGTTTATATATATGTATATGTATGTACATATAAATCAGATGAGGTTATCCGAAGAAAGGTCTACAGTGTCTTACTGTATTTTCTGTTGCTAATTAAAAAAATGCGATACATACACACAAAAATATACAGTAGAATTTGAGAACCACTCTTTTATGAAACTGGAACAAATAGACTTAATTGCTTTTTTTCTTTCTTTTTCTTGTTACATTTTACAATATTAGTTGGGTCAGGGTAGAACACCTAATGAAATTTTATGACCTGACGGTTTATAACTGAAGGTCTTTGGACCCTAGTTGAACTTTCTAACACGTTGTTTTATGTTCAGACCCGTTTAGCGTCCAGAGTTATCAATACATAACAGTTGCATGAAAATATATATACTTGTAGTACTTTAGTAAATTTCAAAATTCTATGCGCGTACCATTTTTATGTGACCACGTTTAATTTTCTCTTCGTCATTTTCGACGACTTCTTCTCAAATAGAATCCATTCTTTTTATTAAATCATAGATAAATATGTCAGTTTGTGTTAATATTTTAATCAATCACAAACATAATTGTCACACCTTCTCTTAGTCCTGGAAACTTTGCCTTTATGAGGACATATTAAAAGATAACTGAAAATTATTTCAATGGTCTTCAAAATTTCCCATGATGATGAGATGCACATGCTAAGTCTTAGGTACAAATATTCTTATACCTTAGTATACAGATTATTAGTATACAATAATATTTTAATTCCTTCTAGCTAAACTAAGAACATTTATTAAAATAATACTGTTGTCATTATGGGCAATTATGATAGTATTATACTGAGAATATACTATACAGCAGTAATTTTATGTAATTTGAGACTAATATAAGTAGACACCAAAAAATCTAATTGTAAATGTTGTTGTTATTATAAACAAAATAGTAAACCACAGACTTCATTCCAGTTAGGTACATGTAGACAAATAACGTAATTTTCGAAGGCAGTTGGAAAATAATCGATATAATATATTCAATATAAGCATCACACATAAAACCCTATTTGAAATAATAATGCCCAAATTTATTTAACAATTGATTGCCCGTATACCCAACTGTAATTAAATGACAAACAAGTAATCAATTTTATAATTACCACAAATCGTTTTATCATTTAATGCTGGTGGGAATGATATCTACAATCGTTAATTATGTATTAAATTAGTTCATATTACCTAAATTTATATCACATTAACGAAAATTTCATTTAATACCGCAATGATTGTTCTCGTGATTGATTACCACCATTACAATGGAAATAAGCTACGAATCATTAACTTCTCGTTTTACAGTAAGAGCAATTTCCAAGCCAATAATCGGGTATTTCACATCTGGCATCTGAATTCTTTATTCAAGTCATTCGCAAAGAACAGTTTTTAAAAAGATAGGGGAGATATTAAACTTCGGAATCGGTGACTATTGTTCGTATATAGGAAGGAACAATAAAACTAGTTCTCGTCCCGTCGGCACATAGGTATTTTCTTCCAGAGCTCGCCGATATTAGTTCTTGATAGTTGTACCTATTGTATACTTGAACTCATGGAAACGGAAATTGACAAACAAAATTGTAATTTTTTTGTAAATTTCTCAATACATTACGGCTCAGTACATTTGCTGTATTAGTATATATACTTCAGATAATTTACAATGCCAATTTTTGTTTAATGAACCTAATCGCTCGATTTCAACATAAAATAACCTTTAACCATCTCACCAAGAGAATTTTTGTGCTTCAGTAGCAATTATTAACTACACTATATTATATACCATAACAATTACACCATTCTGGGATAAGCCGTCGCGCCGATAGTACCATGGGCTGTAATTCAATCAGTGATTAAGGCCTGATCTTAACAAGTCATTCCGCTCTAGTTGATTCACAGAATTCTAATATACTGTGGTATGTACTCTCAGTATGCATCCTGATGTAATTTAACGAGAATAACTCAAACATATACAACATATACGACGTAAATACTTTATACTGGCCTCGATCTCATTACTCGACCTTTTTAATGAGTGCAAATTAATTTAATATGAAGATTGCAATAGTTTATTTGACAATAATAGTAGTAACTAGTTCTCAGTAAGATTTGTAATAGATCATTATAATAGATTTTTCTTTTACAGGAATGGCGATGGAAAATGATAGAGGTGACCAATGACAGCCTGTCCCCGCCGCGAGCGATGACCCTGCAACGCGCTGGGGGTCGTCCGGGACCCGCGGCGGCGGGGCCCGCCCTGTGTGACGCGCCCCACAATCCACCCCTAATGCCATATTTTATAGAAAATTTCACGCTTATTAGGCTATGTCTACAATCTCTACGGGTGATATCATATTTATATCAAAATGCCAACACCTACATCCCGCGAGTGCGCGCGAACTTAAATTTTTCAAAGCGTCCTCTAGTCAAATTAAAAGCTGCTGTGAGTAATGTATTTAGTTTTCGAACTAGGACAGTGTACTGTGATGTTAAATCATTATTAGTGAAAACGTTAGTGCAATTATTCGTTGTTGCCAAGTGGGTTGTGCTTGTGTCTGTGGGGCGAATGCGATGGAGTGGAAGACGAGGCGGAGGGAGCAGGCGGGCGCGGGCGCTGCTCCTGCTGTGGTTGAGCGGTTACAGCCGATACAGTGAGGGTAGACGGGACAACGACTTACACATTGGAGGAATCTTTCCCATGGAAGGTGAAGGTGGCTGGCAAGGAGGCCAAGCGTGCATGCCTGCCGCGGAACTCGCACTGGCCGATGTCAATGCACGATCAGATTTATTATCTGGCTTCAAGTTGCTACTGCACAGCAATGATAGTAAGGTAAATATATACAATTTATTATTTTAGAACAATTCTGTAAAGTTAAATTAACCAGTGTCTTCAAATTTAGCGAGCTAACAACTCGCAAGAGGGGTGGGTATAATTAAGGAAACGGACCCTTGTGAATCTAGGGGTGATTTAATAAGAGGTTCAAGTGGTACCTATTCTGTAATTTTTATATCTAATATCTAAAGCTTTTTACATGATTAAATTTAAGAAATTATTGTTCATGTAATATGATTTATCTATTTATATTATTACGTAACAAATTCCACATTCGCGTGTAAAATTAATTTACTTTGAAATCAAGTTAAACTGAATTACAACATATTATAATTAGGTTTAAGTAACATTAACTGTCACAGGAGACTCCCCATGAAAACGTCAATTATAAATTTCACTCAACATAATGTGCATAACATGTCGCCGCTCGTCGGAGTGACAAGCACCTAATCCATTAAGTTTGAAAATCAAGCCGACTGCGGACCCATAATTAACAAAAAGGGTTCGTTATCCGACGGACCAAGTCCGCTCATAAATCTAAATGAACTAAAATCATAGGCTTATAATATTGCAACCAAGAGGGTGAACCTGACGTTCGATTCAATTATTGAGAATTTATGAATGGCTCACGGAAGAAAATTTTATTTGATAGAATTTCCGAGCCGGTCCGCGGGTAATTTCCTACTTTATCGATTTATATTCAGGGACAAATCGACGATTTCATTCACTTTGATATTGATAACGTGGTGATTATGGACAAAAATGCTGAAAGGGATCTGATAATATAATGGAATAAGAATTAAGATGAAAAACCGCACAAATTACAGAAATTATTTACAATGTTGAATTGTAATTTAACTAAATTATACTTAAATTGATAAAATATATGTATACATTGTTTTTCAGTAGCTGAGATGAAGGTGTATTAGTTTATTTTGCTTGTATTAATTAACTGTAGGTGTATCAATTACTATTACAATTATTATATTCTTAACTTATATATCAGGTAATTCTAATTAATGTCAATCAAATAATTTATGTTCTAAGGAGAACATAAATTTTGTTGACACAGATTGAAACGAATTTATAGAGTAAATATGCATTAAGTAATGTTAGCATTGTTAGTTAGAGAAACAAGTAGGTAAAATAATTAACATTAAGACGTATCTAAAACTAATATACATATGTGAAACTGATGTACTACTACTAGATGTACGTACACTAAAAATATTATTATTTTATTCATTAAATTGTTTATATAATAATTGTGGTATACAATAAATTAAATTTTCAACTAGTATTATATTTCTAAATAATGTTGTCTAATACATAAAAATAAATTACATCCCTCAAGATTTCGAATATACCTTGTCGGCCGCAAAATTTATACCATAAATTCACGGTAACGTAATCTATAGATGTTCTTATTTAGAAGTTACGTGTTACATGTAGGTTTAATTAAACCTAGCCTTATTGCGTCCTGTTTCATAAAGAATTATTACATTTCTAATTAAATTTTTACATCGCTGATGTGGTACAGATATTAACAGGCATATATAAATTAACATAATTATTATTGAATAGGTTTACCTCCTTTAGGAATTGCTTAGTTTTTAACCAATAGATAACGTAAATCCAGAACTTCAAAAAGAGAATATGCAGAATAAGCTCATATTTTTGGTTAGTACTAGATGTAATATTATGTTATCTGTGGAACTAGCTTTCAACTAGCACCAAACGTTCAACACCGGAGTTGTATGTTGAGGGTTGTTAAATCAGTAGATCAGCCTTTCACCCATCAAGTACAGACTGTAGTCTGCATAAAGGACTTATTTTTATGGTTTCTAATACCATACATATGAAACGGAATATGGTTTTATTTTAAGTAAGACTCGATATCTCAGTCTCATTACGAATACATCAGCTGACGTCATCGTAAGCTATATATAATGGATCATAGAGAAATTGATATAATTATTATGGCTTGTATATATTGTAGTGTCAATTTATATTTCTGATTGACGCTGTGATTCAGGGAATATGGATATCAAACCAAAAAATATCCCGAGAGTTGGCTGTAAGCCTGTCCCCTGTTCGTTGAATTCACATATATACTCAGTTATATGTAGGCATGTCAAGGCCTGCGTTCACTATAGCATCGACAACTGTCAATGCCTCTGACTACCCCATCTAAGTTAACAGTCGTGACGGCGTGTTATGTGTTATTTAATTTGTTTTATTTACACATAGAACGCATAGCGCATATCTATTCTACGCAGAGAAATGAAAATGAAATATGTTATATAGCATTTGAATTCTTATATGTGAAAAACGACCTCCGTCACAATTGACATCTAGGTATTAGATTGTATTGACCCACGGGATGGGGCGATCAAGCAGCGATCAGAGGGAAATAAATAGAAAATTAATTTATATGCTAAAAAGGTTCAGGGTGGGAACGAAAATGCCACACAAATAAGAATGTGTGTTGTTTTATCCATAAAAATCACAACGAAATAGGGTTAAAATTGATTACTATATTGGAATTATGATACAACCACGTTTTCCTTAGTATGTAGTAAGGTAATATATGAAACTCATAATTGTATAATACCATATTCTGTAAATTTAGTGATCACGCTAACTTCAAATAACTTGGAGTAAGCTGCTGTTTTTCGTATGTATGTAAATCAAGATAGATATTTTATCTTACAAATATTATAAACGCAAAAGTTCGTGAATATGGAAAAATGGGATGGATATTTCTTATTCTTTGACATCAAAACTACTAAACGTATTTTGATGAAACTTTACAGTAATATAGCTTATACATCAGAATATTATCTACAGAGTATAAATTTCACGCGGGTGAAATACGGGCAAAATACTAAAATGGTATAATTATAACATACCTATAACAATGAATTTTTGTAACCGTCATCTATGATATAACAACGTACCTCCGAAATAAATTAGGCAAATTCTGTTGAAAGTTCACATTAATTGTAAAGGGTCACGTTTTACTCAACACCAGTATAAATCAACATTATTTGCATAGTCCTAATTTGTCCTTTTTTTCAACGACAACAATCCATTTGCTCCATTGTCTTGAAAAATTACGTACCTTTTTGTCACGACTACGAAAGTGCAGGTCAGAATGGACCCAGCTTAATATTGGTAATTTTCAAAGCCGTTAGTGCAATGTCAGTCTCATACTAGTTACATGAATAAAGTTTCTGATATTATTTTACTGACACAATAGCTATAAATTTCCCGAACAACATTTATAACAGTAAATATAATAACAGACGTGATCCATCAGCTCATCAAAATTTTGACGTAATTATAATAAATGTAACAAAACTGTAATTATAAAATGTTGGATGTAACGAATACATAATGTATCTGGTATTTCAACAAGTATTATGTTGATTTACATAAAATTAAATTAATTAATGATCCGACTCTCTTCTACAAAAAAATGTTTCAGCAAAGTCAGCTGACATTTACATGCATTCTTTATACTTACATATATATCAGATTTCAGATGCTTTATCGTAATCGTATCAAGTATCTGAATTACTTTACAAAGTAACATTCAAGTTACTCATGCACAAAATATATTTTTAATTACTGAATATCTGACGAACACCACTTATTGTATTTTTTAAATTTGTATATCGAATATTCGTAAAATACTATTTCATGATTATTATAATTAAAAAGATAGTATTTAAAATTAATTCCTCGGGGCAATGACGATTTCATTTATTGTTAATTAATGTGTAAATATATTTTTATATGAATATTTTTACTACCATCACATTCCTATGACATCTAACAGATAATTAAAATGTTTAATAATAAAAAAGATGGAGGTAATATATATAACAAGGACATCATTATACTGCTACGGACCCAGTGCTTCTGGTCCTGGATATAGGCATACACATAGATCTATGAATTAATATAATAAGGATATATATTGTAATTTACTAACATAGTTTATAAGTTGTTTACTAAGATAATATGGACGGATATCCGGAATTAATTTTATTATTATCAATATAACTGTAACAATATTTTTATTGCAGTGCGAACCAGGTCTGGGCGCGAGTGTCATGTACAATCTACTTTACAATCCACCACAAAAGTTGCTGCTACTCGCCGGTTGCTCGACTGTTTGCACGACTGTTGCTGAAGCGGCAAAAATGTGGAATCTTATGGTTGTAAGTATTCTTAAAATATACATACATAGTTGTGTTTCCTCTTGAACTTCTCTCTTCGTAAGCTTAAAATATTCGAACTTGTATACATATTTTTGTATAGGTATATGTAGGTACGCAATAATATATTAATAGAATATATTACTTTAATAATATCATCAAACACTACAGGACGGGGTTATATAAGTGCAATATATATATATATATATATATATATATATATATTATTTTCATAATAATTTATTACAAATCATAATACTGATAATCAAATGGTTTTTGTTTTTACTTAATGGTTGGCTGGTAGAGAATTTCATATGATAAGTTCGCCAATTGTACGGATCCTTGATGTGATTGGAATAAGGAATAAATAAATCATAATACTCATTATCATATACGGAGATCTAAAATATTAATATAATCACACTATGACGACATTTTCTTTAAGTACGAATCATAATTTATGTAGTCTACGGTGCAATTCCAATTATGTAGTACACAGTGATTTTATAAATTCAAAAGTATGTCTGTTACCTGCCTATTACCTAAATGATTGATCGGATCTTAACGAAATTTTATAATAAATTAGATTCACCAACAAGGAAGAACGTATCTTTTATACCGAAAAAGAAGACGACGTCACAGGTAAAAACTAGTGTCAATATATATCCTGTCAGATAACTTATAAAGAGTAAGCAAGCAATGACGATAGCTTTGTGTGACTATAAATTCAGTTTTATTTGTTGCGTTAGCAAAATGCAAACTGCAGTAAACATTGTGACATTTAATTTTATTCTAGCCGTATTCAGCTATAACATGGTTATTTGCTTGTCACCAACAACAAACTGTTTCAACAACTTGCAACCAAGAATAATCTCTCTCAGTCTCAGTAATACCAAATATTATTTGATTAACTCAATCTAAAGTCTAGCACGATTGTTATTTTGACCTGTTAATAAAATTTACTCGCTTTAGTAAAACAAAGATATTTTAAAACTACGATGTCAGTAAAATTCATAGCAATCTACATTGAAAATAATAAAGTATGATAATATAATATTGGGACTAATATTAGATAATGTACTTATTCAATATCAATATATTATGATAAGATTTACGACCATACGATCTTAGTGCTTCAGCAGTTTAAAAACTGCCCCTATAAAACCTTTTAATGGTTGCGAAATCACGAGTATTATAGTATTAATTTAGATGTTTTATACATATAAAGTTAATTAAGTATTTGTATAAATTATTTAGTACCTACCCATACAATAAGCTCTGAATAAAACATAAAGAGTCTTATACGTTGTTGTTGGTTAAAATTCAAATTATAAAATTATAAAATTGTAAAATTGTTTAAAGATTTAAACATAAAATATGTGATCAGCTAGATCATATAAAAAATTAAATTGCAACTAAAGTATATTTAATATACATTTATCTTGCTAATAGCGTACTTGGAAGTTATTGGAAGGTAGCGTGATACAAGCAATACGACTAATAAAATGTAGGCGTAGGAAGTATTCTGCCCATCAGCGTTGCCTAATGTACTTGTACCATAAACGATCCTCGTTTCATGACATACCTACTTAGGTAATGGACTATTTACTGTTGTAGTTATTGTTTATTATTTGTACTTAAAATTTTGTCGCGTGTATATCAAGGGTTTGTAATACATTGTCATGAAATCGAAGCAGCAAACTCACATTTCGTTCAACCAAAGTAGTACTGTAATTATTGCAATTTATTACTGTAATGTTATTCGACGTGTAAATAAAATATTTTACTTTCGTTTCTTCCGAATACTTAAAATTTTTCATAAATTCTCATAAACTTTGCGATATTTTGTCAATTATAAGTAATGCAGAGAAAATTGAAAAAACTATTTTTGTATAATATAAGCTGTCGAAAAAATTCGACTTTTTTTTTTTAATATTTCTAGTATATTTACGTTTGTCCAATATAAATAGAAACAACTCATTCCTCTATCTGATATTATTAAAGGTATATTATGCATCTTTTTGTTTCCTATAGTTATGCTACGGTGCATCATCGCCTGCATTATCAGACCGAGCCCGCTTCCCCACTCTATTCCGGACTCATCCCTCAGCAACGGTGCATAACCCCACGAGAATCAAACTTATGCAGAAGTTCGGATGGTCACGCATAGCTATATTACAGCAGGCAGAAGAAGTATTTATATCTGTAAGTATTTTTATTTATTTTAGTTGATGAATACTAACCAAAACTAGTAAAAGATGAGCATACATTTAGAATTAACAGTCCTGATGAGGCAGAATTCACTAGGAATTAACCACAATAGTTTCTTTAGAGCCACTAATCCCCATTACTGACAACCCCTTGTTCTGTGTATATGAAGGTAATAGAATATTATTGTATACTAAAACTACAATTTATAACATTGTCATATGGTGCAAAGCCGATGACATCAATTTACATGTGACTCGACCACAATATATCATAAAGCGCGCATTTAGGTCCTATATATTCTGAACTTTTATACTAAAATGAAGATACTAAATTTATTTCTATTTTAGATTTTCATTTAAAATTTTTAATCTCACTGAGGTAGTGCACGTAAAGGTCATAGTAGGTATTTTAGTCTCACCTATTTCAGCCTCTAAACAGCTCGCTTTGTATGTTGTGTTTCTATTTTAGAGTGAGATAATTCAATGAATTATAGAATGTCTTGCCTCATCCTAGTTCTCTGTAATGGCACTCATGCGTTGCCTTACCACTCTCGTCAATAATAACGTGTTGTTCGTGATACTGTTCATGTAGAAACTACGCGACTGTTACCACTTACTATGAAGTTTTTTTCGGACTACTCTAATGCTGTTAGCCGTAGATGGCCTTTTCAGCTTCACCGATCGATAGGGTTCGAGTGCAGATGGCACTCTAAACTGGTAAATGGATTTATAGAACGACTGAAGACTAACTCCCGCCTGACGCATAGGACTTTAGTTTGTGGGTCCCGCTAGGGGTTCAAACCTCGGCTCAAGCCATCGTAATTTCGATCGGCGTTTGAATTGGACAGGGGATCGATCGGAGGGGAATAGAGTACTGTCAGTTTCTTTGCTGTTTCAATTATACATATAAAATCCCATATTTTATCAAAATAGTGATGCTTTATTGCAGTTAAATACACTAGCATCAATTATATAACTCACATAATAAGTCACTTAAAAATAATGACGCCAACGCAATAAAACAATTATGCTTTTCAATTCGCCTGACCATAACTCATCTTATAAGCAAATAAACCTAAAGATTGTTCCACAAAGTTTGCTAAAGAAATAAGAGAGTAATTGCACAAGCATAGTTAACAGCATAGCATCGGCATCGGCGGCGAGTCACAGGGAGCTTCGCGCCACTACGACTCCCGTATCTGTCAGCCACATGGCTTTTTATTTTTTTCACTACCAAATGCCTGATTTAGATATATAGCATATGATTTACAGTGGTGACTAATTCGCATATTTTAATTAAAATAGTATAAGGTCATAAAAATTTGTAGTTGATTATAATTAAATTATAAAATAAACAACGTATGAAAGTAAACTAGCTGTCTTATAGTGTCCTTTACGATGTCGTACCTATATAGAATCTAAGTATCATCTATAGATTAAAAAGTATCATATCCAATTCATACGATTTTTAGTTACATATGTTGGATACCTATTACTACCTTTAACAATTTTTTATATAAATCAATTACATATTATATCATGTCTTATCAATACTACGTATAGGATATACATAAAAGATAGGAGAAACACAATACGATCCAATGTTCGTTTGTTCAAGATCGCTGCACAAACCTCTTCGTGTACCGCATGTTATCTTAACGTTACATTAACTTTCTATAATTCAACCTGTGGAGCTTGAACTTGGTATTAAACACAATGATATTGTTAAACAGTTATGTTGGCAATCGATAGAGATAATACTGAAATCATTGCGTGACTCAAGCCATTCGATAAGCATTTACGTATCTACTAGTATCAAGTGTACTATGACACGCCAACGCTTTGTCTACAGATTGACAAACGGTCTTCATGATTGGCCTTCGGCGAATCGACAATTTCGATTTCTCTGTATTGGAAAGCAGTCAGGCGAGTTATCGGACCTCAACAAGACCCTTATTTACAAAGCGGTATAACTAAATTGATATGTAAAATCTGTACGTGGAAATATTCTCGAATATCATTCTCTAAGCCTATCAGTAATTCACTAATTTTAATAATCAGAAATAGATCATAGATTTTATTTTATCAATAGAATATCTTTTTAGAAGGAATATTTAGCAATAGTTTTATAATCTATTCACATCAGTATATGTAGTTTTTAAATTAAAAAATAAATAGAAATGTACAGTTGTCAGACTTGCATTAACTTTGACTTTTTAAATTTAGCATGTTGACAGTCGACTGTAGTCGCAAGTAAAACTTTGCAACAATTCAAAATAGACGACTGGAACATTAGAATTTCTATTTCACACTGCAACTAGTTTCCCTAATTTTAATGGTAAAAGTACTTACGTTTATATTTATTAATTTATTTAAACTACTTACATAACTACCTTAATAGTCACCGCACATAAGTAAGTATTTCTACAAAGTGTGAAATGAGTTACTGAAGTTAGTGAAAAATAATGCGAAACCATACTTAACCAAAAGGTAGTTAATTTATTCAATGTTACGTCGGTCACATTTGGCGGCGAGAATTGTAGATGAAGGAACAATGGACAAAGTCCTTAGTAAGAGAACTTTTATAGTTCTAAGGGGTCGTCCATCCTCAAATGGATCGATAGCCAGGATCGACGTCGCTATTGAAAGTCGGCAGATTGGAATTATGCTGACCACAAATGTGTTCATAGATCGTTTTTTGCCCTTTTACTTTTTAACAGTCAAACTGAGAGTAGTCCACGGTTAGATCTCAACATATTTACAATATTTTAACCTTACCAGAAGCATGTCATATTCTTATTTCCACAACAATATAAGTATATTCATCCATTTTCATAACACTATGATCAGAAATGAAGTCACAAAGTTCTGGAAAATAAGCGAAGGCTGCGTATATTTCTACAGAATAAATCACATTCCAGATTTGCATATCGCTTCTATATATCACATCAAGTACCAACTGGCTAAAAGGAATACTTACCTACAGTCGATATAAATACTTCATACTCAATATTTCTGAAAAAGACAGTATAATATTTTCTGCTTAAAGACCGCTTTTCACGGGGTCAGCTACTATTGCCTAAGTATATCGCTGCCCCTTTAGGTGATCCATAAATTTTGCCACAGATCGTGGAGGGGGGGGGGGAGGAGCGACAAAGCGTGACAATTTGTAACAAGGTAAGGGAATGGTCTTAATTTTTCTGACATTACTTATCTGTAATAAATATATATTATAATATCATAACCAATAATATATCGCTTTAAATATAAAATATGTAACGTAGAAATTATTAAACAATTTTTTTTTAATTTCTAGTGTTTTTTTATCCATTACATAAGTCTGGCTGTCACATCACACCAGCTGTGACAAGAACTGGGGAAGAATGTAAAAAAATATGGATGGGCCCATACCTAGATGTACTCTGGTGCGATACTATAACCACAGATAATATAATATTACATACAGATACCCCATCCCATACAAGAAAATGGTTCCTTCCTAACTCGGGCTATTCTTCGGGCTATTTTATTTCGCCGCCGTAGGCGCTAGATGTCGCTATATCTGAAGCAGTTCGGATTACTAGTGGGTGATTAGTAATAAAGCATGAAAATAGATGGCAGAGAATTCGGTCTACATGACATCTGTTTTGCAAAGATACGTACATAATAGATATATAACTGTATCGAACTCCTGATTGGGTACAATCGAAAATTCAATGTCTGTATAATATTGTTCGCTGACAGTCTACAGACACGGCTAATGTACCTATGTATCTATGTACTATGTTACAGTTACTTTTTTACATGCCTACTTTTTTTCTCCCGACGAAGATATGTCGTAACGCGTCTGCACTAAAATCGGGCTATTCGTTAAGGAGCTATTGCTCCTTAACCGATAGCCCGATTTTAATACGGTTTTTTTTATTTAAATTGTTATGTGATAGTGATAGATTTTAGCTATAATCAATTGATGTGCATATGGGTACCTCATATAATTTTCAGTGTATAATTATTTCTCAATATGTAGTTAATTATAGTAAACTGGCAATTTGTAAAACTGAAAATAATATCTGCAAACCATCAATCTGTTATATGTAGGTTCTTTCAGGGATACTACATCGGTGCTAATGACATGTAGGTTATTTTGATGTTATACCTATTTGTAGAACCTTCGATATCTACAAACTACGCCTTTACTGCTAGTTTTTTGGTATTCATGTAAGTTGTTATTCAGTTGAAATTAAGCTGCGAAATTACAGGATATTTGGACATAACATCTATGTTCTCCAGAATGATAACGTATGCGGGATATAGCGCGCACGACATGATGACGTAATGCTGTTTAATAATATATGTGTATGTATGTACGTCGGATAGCGTCGTGGTTGGATGGATCGTCAGCTTATTTACCATTTCAGATAATAATAGTAGGCAGTAACTTTTGACAATATGGATGAAGGAGGGTAACGGTGATGATGATGAGATCAATAATGACTGTTGACGATAGTGACGGTGGTATTTATTTATGACCACCATAAAATTCATCATTGGCAGTATTCTCAACATTATCATCATTGTTCATCATGATGATTGAGATCAAACTAATTAATTGATTAAAAAAGTAGCAAGTATTAGGTAGGTACTAAGTCCTTATATGACTTAAATACAAGGTTCTGGGATGCTGTGATATACTACAGTCTCTAGATTTTGTTTCTTATTAGTATTCCACGACCAAAGTCTATAGACAGGGAAATATAGATTTACACAAAGTTTTTTGATGTAAATGGTAATTATTATACACATTGCATTAAAAAATATACATATATGATTACCATCTAATACAAAATCATTATGTAGTAAATAATTCCTGACATTTTAAATCGAATGAGGTGAAACTAACATTGCATGAACACAACACTTGAAGATCATAACATTTTTATTTCAGGTAATAAAACACTTTTTAATAATTTATTAATCACAGAATAAACAATTGTT